CCATTCAAGCAGCACCACTTCATATTACCTTCAATAGTGGATATGTACCTACTGGTTTCTTCACTCGTTTTGTGGTTTTACTTGCCAATGCCGAAAGAATGGAACTCTGTTTTGAGAAAGGTGTTTACAGAAATTGTGCCACATTTCGTTATCAAGATTCCAACAGTAACAGTATTGAATATATAATAGTCACTGATTGTCATGATGTTATTCAGATCAATGTACAACATCGTCATTCTGATCTAGATTCAGCATCCTTCACAAAAACTTGTCAATATATTCGTGTTTATTTGGAAAATGCAGCAATTAAAGTTGAAAAAATTTTAAAGGGTTGTGTCAGTGGATGGACTGATGATATAAAGCCATTTCAATATATATTCACACACAAGTTTGAATATGTATGCACTAGCTGCCCTTTCACCAAGTCACCTCATTACATAAAGCTTCCACCAACAAATCCAGCTCAGGATTCTAAAAAATTTTGTGATGAAAATAAAGATGTCTACCGAGCTCTTACTAAACAGGAGAGGGTTTGGTTTAAAGACACCAGTCAGGTAAAAAAATTATAAATTTTATTTATCTTCTTATTTTTTACAATTACAATGTCTATTCAGTTGATACCAGCAACAAAAATGTCTTATCTAGTTATCATATTTACATGCATTTTTTTGTTATTGTTATAGTCTGAGAGGAGAACAAAAGAGAGAGCCCTTACTAGTCCTGATGAGTCTGATATGAAGTTGCTAGGTAAATTCTTAATATTTTAATTATTGTAGGATGGGTGATTTTCCTTGGGTTCAAATCACTCAACTTCTCACAAAAAGTACCTGCCTTGCACAGTATGCACTGTGTTTTGATTGTCAATCATTATTTATTACTGATATAATTGGCCTAAGTACATTCAGTAATACTGAAGGCATGAAGGTATACCATGTAGTATTTTTTGCAAATAACAAATTTCATAGATATTTTGAGATTTGCAAAATAAAATCTCTTGAAAATCAATTTAATATGGTACAAGATGGCAGAATAGTTGAAGTTTGCAAATTTGATTTTGTGCTGGAACCTCCAAATACAGGTCATTTGCACCTTAAATAAAAGCCAGATGTAAATAAATGCGGGGGTAGCAATAGAATTGAACCATAAATATGCAAATCTAGCCTTGAAGTAACTCAGATGCCTTGTAGATACTTCCTTAGGTTCCTGAAGTCAAGTGCATGAGGTCACTGGTTCAAATCCCGTTCTGGGTCCAAGTTTTATTTTATTTTAAAAAATTTTCTCGAGGTCCAAATACTGTATAGCAGAAAATTTTTGTTGCCAAAAATTTTTGTTGCCTTGCCCAGCAGGCTTTACAAGATATTTTTGTTGATTTTATTTTCGTTTTGCCTACTATAAATTTTCACTGTCATATCCATTTAGTTAGTGCCACGTGTATGGTTTAAAATGGAAGAATGTCTATGGTTCATGATTACCACATTTATTAAGACATTTGGAGCCCATCAGTTGGAGAAGAGCTGCCTTTCTGTGTCGATCTGATAATGCCATAGATCGTTATGCCGTGGCTGTAGTGAAAAGAGGATCTGTCGTGGGTCAAAATTTTAGTTAGATTAAATTTTCATTGTCGAAAAATTTCCTTCAAAATTTTGGCCAATGAAACAAATGAAGATTAGCACCCAACGAATATTTCCTGCTATACAGTAATCATTTTTGGAAATAGTTGCCCGGGCTTTTATTTAAGGAAATACAGTATCCTCAAAAAAACTGCTATATGGTATTTGTATACAATAATGCATCTGCATGTCATATCTTGTGTACATAGACATTAGTGATCTTGATGATGTCATTGATGAGTTACAGTCAATCGATTACAACAAGTGGAAAGAATTGGGCATCTACTTAGGACTGTACCACACTACGCTGGAAGCCATTAAAGCACATTGTAGAAGTGTTAAAATGTGTCTGATGGAGTGCATGGCAGCCTGGTTAAAAGGAGAAGATAAAGCGAGAGAGAAAAGAGGTCCCAGTTGGTCGTCATTAGCTACAGCTCTGGAAAAAATGGAAGCAAATGACATTGCTAGTAACATTAGAGCAAAGTACAGTGCTATTGTAAGTCATTTTGTTGCTATTATTGTTTTAATACATGTATATGACTACACAAACATGTTTTTTATAGTTAATTTCACCAACAGCAACAGCAAAGCTGCCAAAAAGAAATCTGGTACATAGTCATTGCCAGTCTTATAAATTGTTACTTTAATTGTTGTTATTTTTATAGCCAACAAAAGAAGGAGTACTTATTAGCTCTATTGTGTCTTATGCAGAACTGCTTGGTAAAGACAAGCTTACATGTGTAATAATGGGAATAATTACTGTAGGATGGGATAATTTTGGGGGGGTTAAAATTACTTAAGGCCACTCCAATAAGATTCCTATTTCCCATTATCTGCCCACATGACTATACTCATTACTGTACATGGTTTTCCATTATGCACACAGTTTATGCATTTATAATAAATAAAATTAATGAAGATGAACAAACCCGTCCACCCACATCAGATCCATCTCTGTGTTTAAAACTATAAAGTGGCCTAACCTCCCATAAATTAGCTATGGCCTACCTTATTTTTTATTGTATATACATGTATTATTTATTGAACTACATATATAATGAATGTCAAGTCACATTTACATATACATGTATATATTATGCACTATAATACAGTTCCTATTGTCCTAAACATTTTGTGTTTACAAGCTACACATGTACATATACATGACATTGATATTATAATCATGGCATATCTTGTGTACATAGACATTATTGATCTTGATGATGTCATTGAAATGTTACAGTCAATCAATTACACTGAGTGGAAAACATTGGGTGTCCTCTTAGGACTGTACCACACTACACTGGGAATGATTGAAGAAAGCTGCAGAGGAAATGTTAAAAAGTGTCTGCTGGAGTGCATGGCTGCCTGGTTAAAAGGAGAAGATAAAGTGAGTGAGAAAGGAGGTCCCAGTTGGTCGTCATTAGCTACGGCACTGGAAAAAATTGGAGCAAATGACATTGCTAGTAACATTAGAACAAAGTACAGTGCTATTGTAAGTCATAATCTAATGCATGACTGCATGAACATCATATTTCTATTTTTTATAGTCAATGTCAATGGCAGCAGAATCTGACTCACTTTCTATGTTAACAGATGTACACACTGTAAATTATTATTAATTATTATATCAGTGCATTTTAATATTATTATTGTTGTTATTGTTACAGCCTGATGTTCTCCCAATTCCTAAAACAATTGGAGGGAGTGAAAGTTTTGATGCACCTAATGAGGAAGATACTTATGATTTGAGGAAACCACTAAGTAAAGTTTTATAAATGTCATAATTATCATGAATTCATTGGTGAAGAAGAAGTCATAAAAATAATGTTCCATCACATGATGCATGTACTTGTCTGCATGTGGCATTGTGGCATATTTCCTCATAGAATAATTATTCACATCAATATCTTTCATGATTCAATGATTGTGATGACATTAAGGCTATATGCATAGTATTATATAGTGCACTACTATCATACAATCACCATGATACGGTACTGTACATTCTATATTTACAATAAACAATTTGCAAAATTTTTCCTTTTAAAAATTAAACCCTAATATTTTTTATTTGTATGAATAAAAGATTATGCTGAACTATTAGGAGAAAAGGCACAAATGGAGGAGGAGAAACAGATTATTACTGGTTAGCGTATCATCAGTACATAATATTAGATGAGTCTATTAATGTAGAAGATAATGAGAAACTGAAAGCTAAAGTTGATGATTATGAAGTATATATAACTAAAATAGAAGAAGAGAAGAAACAAATTGAGGAAGAGAAGAATCAAGTAGAAGAAGAGAAGAAACAAGTAGAAGAAGAGAAGAAACAAGTAGAAGAAGAGAAGAAACAAGTAGGAGAAGAGAAGAAACAAGTAGAAGAAGAGAAGAAACAAGTAGAAGAAGAGAAGAAACAAGTAGAAGAAGAGAAGAAACAAGTAGGAGAAGAGAAGAAACAAGTAGAGGAAGAGAAGAAACTAATTGAGGAAGAGAAGAAACTAATTGAGGAAGAGAAGAAACTAATTGAGGAAGATACATGTAAGAGAGAATTAGAGGAACAATATCTCAAAGAGAAACAGATCACTAAAGGTTAGAGTATTGTTATAACTTGATTTACTGAATACATAATGTACATGTACATGTATGTTGCTGCACCAAATTTTCTAGCTACATGTACATGTACACTATACATGCATATATATATATATATATATATATATATATATAGCAGACTAATTTTTATACACGTTATACTGTACGTGTACATGTATACATGTATGATCATTTTTGTTATCTTTTCAGCTAAAGTTGACGATAGCGAAACTGTAAAGAGTGAGAAATTGGAAGGGGTGTTAAAAGCACAGGCACAGTTACAAGAAGAGAAACAGATTATTACTGGTTAGTATATCATCAGTACATAATATTAGATGATTCTATTAATGTAGAAGATAATGAGAAACTGAAAGCTAAAGTTGATGATTATGAAGTATATATAACTGAAATAGAAGAAGAGAAGAAACAAGTAGAAGAAGAGAAGAAACTAATTGAGGAAGAGAAGGACAAAGTAGAGGAACAGTATCTCAAGGAGAAACAGATCACTAAAGGTTAGAGTATTGTCATCAATGTGTATATTATATGAGAGAATATTTAGAACTGAAAACTAAAGTTGCTGATAATGAAT